TTCAAGAGGCCTATAATAATGATGAGGCTGAGAAGCTTTGGTTGCCTGAATGCCTAAATAGAGTTCTGAAAGATCAATCATATGAATATTTTAAACAGTGACTCAAATACTGAAACAGTGAACATGTCAAGAGAATGAAGACCCAGCCAGGGCTCCTGAGTGATGGATCACCCTCCCCTTAGCTGACTTAGCAACTTCCCTTATAATCATTGTGGATTGGAACAGTAAGAAATGTGCAACAGAGAAGGGAGCACAGCACTCTGCGTTTCCTCCACTACATTAGGAGTTGTAGGAAATGTTAATTCCTAATGGTTTGGTACTTAGTAAGAACAGGGAAGGGAAGTGACTATGAACGAGAGTCACTCAGAATGACAGACTGGAAGATCCCAATCCTTCACTCTCCAAAGAATCCTTAGAATTAGACAATACATAGAACTCAAAGGTAAAAGAGTAAGCATTAGAAAGAATATACACCTGCTATATGCCAGTTCCCTATGTGCCTGCTATTTGCTTCTGTCTACCTTCTTTTGTGCCTAGCAAGACTGACACATTGCATACACTAGCATTCATTCCTTACCTGGCTCCAAGCTCAAGGACAAAGCACCTAGAACATAGGTGGGATCTTGGAAATAATCGTATGAAGTAGCTATAACACACATTTTCATGATCAGAATTGTTAGGGGATCACTAGCGCCATGTAGGGAACTAACCATATCACCTATGTTTGCCCCAGTGTTCACAACTAAAGGCAAAACCTGTTAACTTATGTAAAGCTCGTAAAAATAACCCACGTTTATTGATCATTCCCTCAGTGGCATTGTTCCCAGTACTTTACATACCTTCACTTAGTTATTTGTCTCAACAAATGCTATATGATAGGTATTAATATTATTCTCCTTTTTTCCCAGTCCTGGGGCTTGAACTCCAGGCCTAGATGCTGTCTCTGAGTTCTTCTGCTCAAAGCTAACACTCTACCACTGGAGCCACAGCAGCACTTCCACCCTTTTCTGTGATTAATTGGAGATAAGAGTCTCCTGGACTTTCCTGCCCTGGCTGGCTTTGAACCGCTATCCTCGTATTTCAGCCTCCTGAGTAGTTAGGATTATGGGCATGAACTGCCAGCACCCAGCTTATTCTTCTTTTAAAGAGGAAGACACAAGCCAGGCACAGTGGTACACACCAAGAAGCTCAACACTGGGAAGCTGAGGAAGGAAGACTGGGATTGGGAGATCAATTTGGGCTATATAGGGCAGAGAGATTAAGTAACTCAACCAAGACTACCTAGTAAGTGACAGAGCTTTGAACCCAGATCATGTGGTTCCAGAATTATGCTATATGCTATATGCTCTTCAAAAAAGCTGAACTTAGATCACTGGCCTGAAGTTGTACTCCTAGTACAGAGTGAAACTGATGTTTATGCCAGGATTTGCAATTCTAAAGTGTAAACTCTGTCAGAGATAGAAGCATTTGATAGACACACACCCTTTGTCTCTCATTATATGATGCCTTGTGCTGCCTCTGGACCCTGCCAGCAAGCAGGCCATCCAGGGACAGCCCCTTAGCCTTCCACTAAAGCCAAGAGCCAAAATCAATCTTATTGGAAGGTACATAACAATAAGAAGGGGTTGGGAAGGTGGCTCAGTGGTAGAGCACTTGCCTTGCATGCATGAGACCCTGGGTTCGATTCCTCAGCACCACATAAGCAAAAAGAAAAAAGCCGGAAGTGGCGCTGTGGCTCAAGTGGTAGAGCACTAGCCTTGAGCTGAATAGCTGAGGGACAGCGCTCAGGCCCAGAGTTCAGGCCCCACGACCGGATCCCAAAAAACAAAACAGAACAGAAAAACAATAAGAACCCCAAACCAGAACATTCTGTCTTTCCTTGTGGCAAATTTATGACCTTTCTTATACATCATCAATCTAGTCTACCTATACCTCCCCTCAAGGTGAATAAAACCTAGTACTTTTGAGAACGCAAAGCAGAACATCCATTGTCTCAAAGACTCCAACTTACAGGAATCATCTTTATAACATTTTACTCAGTGACCTTGATCTTCCCCTTAATATTTCTATTGTTATTTAACAGGAATTTAGTGAAGTTTTTTCTTTAACCCGCGCTTTGGCTTGAGCTGAGGTCTTGGGCACTGTTCCTGAGCTTTTGTGCTCAAGGCTAGTGCTCTACCACTTTGAGCCACAGCACCATTTCTGGCTTTTTAGTAGTTTATTGAAGATAAGAATCTCATAGATTTTCCTGCCAAGGCTGGCTTTGAACTGCACTCCCCAGAGCTCAGCCACCTGAGGAGATAGGCTTACAGGAGTGAGCCACTGATGCCTGGATTTATTGAGTTTTTATGCCCAGTGTGTATTATTATCTATTATCATGAGACCCATTCTTGGCTCCTGTAACTATTCTAAGATAGCAGAGAAAATAACACAACTTTTAGACAATAGATGCACTGTACACATAAATAGACATACTAAATTGCATTCCCCTTGTATAACTACTCGAAAATACATATTAAAAAATAAAAAAGTATTTGTCAGGCCATTGAGTGGTAAGCATGTACCTGAAGGTGAGTAACACTGCACTAACAAAGAATGACAGCTAGTACAGCCTATTTAGTAGAGCTACCATATGACCAAACTTGTGATAGCTCATTATGATCATCTGATTTTTTTTTTCAAGGTCCAGCCTGGTAAATTAAATGGAAACACACTGGAGACTGGTATTAATGTGTTCTTTAGTTTTTGTTGTTATTTCTGTGCCAGTACCAGGGCTTGAACTCAGGGTCCTGTGCTCTTTCAGTTTTTTTGCTCATAGCTGGTACATGACTTTTTTTTTTTGGGTCCGGTCGTGGGGCGTGAACTCTGGGCTTGAGCGCTGTCCCTCAGCTCTTCAGCTCAAGGCTGGCGCTCTACCACTTGAGCCACAGCACCACTTCCGACTTTTTTTTTCCTGCTTATGTGATGCTGAGGAATCGAACCCAGGGCCTCATGCATGCAAGGCAAGCGCTCTACCAGTGAGCCACCTTCCCAGCCCTGGTACGTGACTTTTTGAGCGACAGTTCCAGTCCAGCTTTTTGTCTAGTTACTTGGAGACAGATTCTCATGGACTTTTCTATCAGGGCTGGCTTTGAATCAGCTACCAGCACCCACCTTGTTCTTTTGGTTTTTGAAGAAATTAACAAGCTCTAATACCCCCCCAAAAAAACACAAAATACTGCTTTTGATTTATCAGCAGATAGAGAAGAGCACAGCTTGCTTCTGGCTGGTCTTCCTAATTGCAATAGCTCTTATTACAATCATCAAGAAACTGAAGCTGGATATGACCACACAATCCTTAATCCCAGCATGCAAAATGCTGAAGCAGGAACATCATGAGTTCAAAGCCTAGGCTACCCAATGAGACTCTATCTCAAAACCTCCTTTTTCATCTGCAGAGAGAGAGAGAGAGAGGAGGAAGGAAAGGAAGAAGGAAGGAAGGGAAGAAGGGGGGAAGGAGGGAGGGAAGGAGAAAAGGAGGGAAAGAAAAAATGAAGGAAGGCCGGGTGCTGGTGGCTCATGCCTGTAATCCTAGCTACTCAGGAGGAAAGTTCATCTCTGATAAACCACCAGAAAACTGGAAGTGGCGCTGTGGCTCAAGTGGTAGAGTGCTAGCCTTGAGCTGAATAGCTGAGGGACAATGCCCAGGCCCAGAGTTTAAGCCCCACAACCGACAAAAAAAAAAGAAGAAGAAGGAAGGGAAAGAAGGAAAGGAGGGAGGAAGGCAGAGAGGGAGGGATATCGGTGTGGAGGTTATGCTAAATACCAAGTATTCCATTTAATTACATATTCAGGATGAGAAAATGAACACTGTAAACTAGATCTAGGCTGAGAATCCATTAAATTGAGTACTTATCACTAACAGGTAATCCAGGACTTAAAGCCCAAAGATATTTCATTATAAAAGTATCTTCTGGAGAAATAGCTGATTAAAAAAAAAAAAAGCAGTTATTTCCCAAGCATAAAACAAGACATCCCAGACAGTTTAATCCTTTGTTATACTTCTACTTTAATAGAATGACACTGGAAAGTAGACAGATGTTCAGAGAAAAAGGCAAAGCAGTCTGAGGTATGAGACCACACCTATGTTTTAATGGAGCCTTTGGTGTCTAATATTAACAACACCCCCCCCCCCCCCCCCGGTAAACAGCGTCCACTAGCTCTGTGACACCTCCACACACGAAACAGAGTCACATCCCCCGCACTCTAAACTCCCCATGTTTCCACTTACTTGTCTTTGTTTTTCAGTTTCTTGAAATTTTTATTATGAAATATCACATAAGCATTTGCTTTGAAATTTAAAATGTCAAAATCCCTGGATTCAATTTTCTTTTTTTTTTTTTTTTTTGGGTCCGGTCGTGGGGCCTGAACTCTGGGCCTGGGCGCTGTCCCTCAGCTCTTCAGCTCAAGGCTAGCGCTCTACCACTTGAGCCACAGCGCCACTTCCGGCTTTTTTCTGTTTTGCTTATGTGGTGCTGAGAAATCGAACCCAGGGCCTCAGGCATGCAAGGCAAGCGCTTTACCACTGAGCCACTTTCCCAGCCCCGGATTCAATTTTCTTTAAAGTGATTGTGTGTGTATGCATGTAGTGTGTGTGTGTGTGTGTGTGTGTGTGTGTGTGTGTGTGTGTGTGTGTGTGTGTGTGTGTGTGTGTGTGTGTGTATGCCAGTAGTAGGGCTTGAACTTGGGACTTGTGTGCCCCTGAGCTCTTTTTTTTTTTTTTCTCAAGGCTAGTGCTTTACCACTTAAACCACAGCTCTATTTGTGGTTCATTGGAGATAAGAGGCTCTTGAACTTTTCCTGTCTGGCCTGGCTTTGAACCATGATCCTCAGATTTCAGCCTCCTGAGTAGCTAGGATTACAGGTGTGAGCCACTGGCACCCAAAGAAGTGATTTTTTTTTTTTAATAGATACTAGTTAGTTTCATGATGTTGGTTGGGTATGATACCAAAAAACGACAGTATTTTCTCGAGTACTAAGATATATAACAGCATTAAAGCATGATCCTTGAAGAATTAACACAAAAAAACAAGTGACAGAATTTAGGGTTCTTTTTCAGAGGGTTTAAAATTTCTTTGAAACTTCCCCTCCCCCACAAGCCAAATGATTGATCATGGTACAGAAAGCATACTGAATACATTGCCTGGTGTCAAGGTGGGAACCCCCTCACTTTTATATAATAAAATCTTCTTCCAACCCGTTATGACCGGAGTCCACGTTGTCTAAGGGTACCTTCGTTTTGGGAGACCTAAAGTTGTAATAGAAAACATCATTTTCATCTAGGGACTGGTATTCCCATTCTCCTTCAGGTAGGAAGCCACTTCCAGAGCCTGAGCCAGAGCCGGATCCAGAACCTGATCCAGAACCTGAACCAGAACCAGATCCAGAATAGTCTTCAGAAAGAGGAAAGTCATCATTCATGCTCTGGATTCTTGTCATTCTGAAATATGAAAGAAAAAAAATACAGTAAAGTTTGATTCATAAAGACTAGAATTATTATATATATATTATACAACATATAATATAATACATATTATATAATATATCATATATTATAATATATTTAAGATAAAGAAATAATGAGGCCATTTATTTACTTAAAAGAGTTCAAAAGCGCCGGGCACTGGTGGCTCACGCCTGTAATCTTAGCTACTCAGGAGGCTGAGATCTGAGGATCGCGGTTCAAAGCCAGCCCGGGCAGGAGAGACCGTGAGACTCCTATCTCCAATAAACCACCAGAAAACCAGAAGTGGCGCTGTAGCTCAAGTGGTAGAGCACTCGCCTTGAGCTGAAGAGCTGAGGGACAGCGCCCAGGCCCAGAGTTCAAGCCCCACGACCGACCAAAAAAAAAAAAAGCTTCTGAATTAGTTAACATTTTCTATGTGTCTAAGGGTGTGTGCTCACATGTGTGCACCTATTCTAGTCTTGAACTCAGAATCTGGGCACTGTCCTTGAGATTTTTTGTTCAAGGCTAGCACTTTACCACTGGAACCATAGCTCTACTTCCAGCTTTTTATTAGCTAATTACAGATAAAAGTCTCAGAGACTTTTTTTTTTCAGTTGTGGGACTTGAACTCTGGACCTGGGTGCTGTCCCTCAGCTCTTCAGCTCAAGGTCATTTCTCTATTGAACCACAGTGCCACTTCTGGTTTTCTGGTGGTTTATTGGAGATAAGAGTTTCACAGAGGGGCTGGGAAGGTGGCTCAGTGGTAGAGCGCTTGCCTTGCATGCCTGAGGCCCTGGGTTCGATTCCTCAGCACCACATAAGCAAAAAGAGAAAAGCCGGAAGTGGCGCTGTGGTTCAGCTGGTAGAGCGCTAGCCTTGAGCTGAAGAGCTGAGGGACAGCGTCCAGGCCCAGAGTTCAGGCCCCACAACCGGACCCAAAAAAAAAAAAACAAAAAGAGTTTCACAGACTTTCCTGCCCCGGCTGGTTTTGAACCGTGATCCTTAGATCTCAGCCTCCTGAGTAGTTAGAATTTCAGGAGTGAGCCACCAGTGCCTGGCTTCTTGGGGACGTTAACACCAGGGCTGGCTTCAAATCATAATCCTCAGATCTCCTGAGTAGCTAGGATTATAGGCATCATATCTCCTGAGTACTCCTGAGTAGCTAGGATTACAGGCTTGAGTCCCCAGTGCCAGCTGAAAAGTTTTAAATCTTATTTCGTTTTGCTACAAACTATTTTATTTTGATTTTCATCAAAATGAAGGATTCTAATAGAATTCAAGTTTTTATCACCTAAGAATTCTTATTGGATGTTTCACAAGTTTTATTTGAGCTAGACACAGTTTGATTTGTGTTTGACAGTTATGACCATTAATATCTTCCTTTCCCTAATTCCTCTTTTTATTCACCACTAATTCTAAAGTATTTTTTAATTACCCCTTCCCCCCACAGAAAGCCATAGCTTAATCAAAACTATAGAAAACCTTGGCCGGACACCCTTGGCTTACACCTGTAATCCTAGCCACTCAGAGGCTGAGATCTGAAGTTTGAGGTTCAAAGCCAGCCCAGGCAAGCAAAGTCTGTAAGACTGATATCTCCAATTAACCACCAGAAAACTGGAAGTGGTGCTGTGGCTCAAGTGGTAGAGTGCTTGCCTTGAGCTGAAGAGCTGAGGGACAGCGCCCAGGCCCAGAGTTCAGGTCCCACGACTGACAAAAATCAAAAAACAAAAACAATAAATGAAAACCTTACTCTCTATCCCCAGCCCCTAAGAACCACAAATTGACTTTCTGCTTCTAGGACATTGCTTATTCTGGACAATTTATATCAATGGTATCACATAATATTAATTTCTTCTACTTCACTTAATATTTTCAAGGTTTACCTATGTATCAGTACTTCTATTTCTTTTGTTTTATTGTTGTTTTTCAGACAGGGTCTTACTATATAGCACAGCCTAGCCACAAATGTAAGATCCTCCTTCCCTAGCCTCCTGAGTGCTGACAGTAGAGGATGCCACACCTAGTTCTATTATATTCCTTTTTAATAGCCAAATAGTATTCCATTCTACTGATATTCCTCCTCCTCCTCCTCCTCCTCTTCCTCCTCCTTCTTCTTCCTCTTCTTCTTCTTCTTTTTTGCCAGTTTTGGGGCTTGAACTCAGGGCCTGGGCACTGTCCCTGAACTTCTTTTGCTCAAGGCTAGCACTCTACCACTTGATCCGCAGCACCACTTCCGGCTTTTTCTGTTTAATGTGGTACTGAGGTATTGAACCCAGGGTTTCATGTATGTTAAGCAAGCACTCTACCACTAAGCCACTTTCCCACTAATCCACATTCCCAGCCCCTCCACCTTTATTTATTCATTCAATTGATCAAATCCTATTCTATTTTAGCATGTAATATGGTAAATGAATAAAACAATCTTCAGTTATTTTTATTATGTGTTAGGGAAGAATATTCAACGCTCATTTCTGCCACCCATGAAAAAAGTTACAAAAACATAGATGGATCAGTATGTTTGCACACCTCATTGCACGTGTACATATATGGCACAGTTTGTTTGTTTTTTGTCAATCATGGGGCCTGAACTCTGGGCCTGGGCGCTGTCCTACACAGTTTTGTTTTTGTCATGGGTCTTGGTCTCTGGGCCTGGGCACTGTCCTTCTGCTCTTCAGCTCCAGTTTAGCGCTTTACCGCTTGAGCCACAGCACCACTTCTGGTTTTCTGGTGGTTTATTGGAGATAAGAGTCTCAGACTTTCCTGCCTGGGCTGGCTTTGAACCATGAATCCTCAGATCCCAACCTCCTGAGTAGCTAGGATTACAGGTGTGAGCTACTGACCCCCGGCTTATGGCACAGTTTTGTCATGTGTTGTGCAACAAAAGCCCAACTATTCAAAGTGATAGATTCAAGGAAAAACTGACAGTCCCACTGCCTGCCCACCAAGATTTCGACAGAGGTTGTGACAGCAACATCAGAGAAAAGTCCAGTCCACTTACGAGACAGGGTCAGTCCTTTCTGGGAGGATCCTGTTGGTCTCACCGGGCGGTAGATCAAACAATGGGCCCTTTTCATCAATGCAGTTGGCAGAATTGCTGTCTGGACTGCAGCGTACCCACTGGTATCTGGCCCTCCGCATAGGATACCCTGCAAACAAGGACCCACATGAGTGGTAAGGATCTCTTCTACAGCTTCTAATTGCTAAGGCCCTAGGAAGGTTTTAATTACATACTTTCTAACCTTGGCAGAAAGTAAAGTATGGCCAGCTTTAACAGAACAGCAGCACCCGCTGTGTGCTAGCCTTTTGTATATAATGTTCTTATGGCAACACTGCTATAAAATGGTGGAGAGTTAAAGACTGGAATAAGCTTTGGAGTCAGCTATCTGTAGTAATATCCAGGTTACTACGGAAACTCGAAACTTTAACTTACCTGAAACTACACACACAAACACACACACACACACACACACACACACACACACACACACTATAAACTGATCTAATAGTATCATAAGCTTATCTCATACACATACACACAAAGAACATAACCTAGCCAGGTGCAGTGGCTCATGCCTATAATCTCAGCTACTTAGGAGGCTGATATCTAGAGGATTGCAGTTCAAAGTAAGCCTAGGCAAAAATGTCTTGTGAGACTCCATCTCCAACTAACAGAAAAATGTCTGACTAGAGCTCAAGTGGTAGAGCGTCAGCCATAAGCAAACAAGCTGATTGAGGGTGTGAGGCTCTGAGTTCAAGCTCTGGAATTTAGAGGAGAAAAAAGCTGGGCACAGTGGAATGCTCCTGTAATCTCAGCTTTGTGGGAAGTTTAAATAGGAGGGTTGTCATCCATTTCAGCTTGGGCAAAAAGTGAGGCCGGGTGCCGGTGGCTCACATCTGTAATCCTAACTACTCAGGAGGCTGAGATCTGAGGATGGCCAGCCCAAGCAGGAATGTCCATGAGACTCTTACCTCCAATTAGCCACCAGAAAACCGAAAGTGGCGCTGTGGCTCAAGTGGTAGGGAACTGGCCTTGAGCTGAAGAGCACAGGGACAGCGTCCAGGCCCAGAGTTCAAGCCCCACAACAAATCCCCTCCTCCCCCCAAAAAAGTGAGACCCTATTCAAAAACTAACCAAAGCAAAAAGGACTGGGGGCATATCTCAAGTGTCAAGTGCTTGTGTAGCAGGAACACGATCCTGAGTTCAAAGCCAGGGCCACTTTCATACCAAAGACATAGACATTAGACATGTAGTAAGCACTTGATAATAATAACTGTTGTTTTTGCTTTGATTTGTGTTTGGAGACAGAATCGTGCTATGTAGCCCAGATTGGCTTTAGAATCTGCAACCCTCCCACCTCAGTCTACTGAGTACTAAGATTACAGATGTGCACCATTACAGCCTGAACTATTATCATTTTTGTATTGTTATTTCCACTTTGCACAAAGAAAAATTTACACAGAAGTCGGGATTCCAACTAGTAACTCATCCCCAAATCTGCCTTTATTCATAAAAATGAGTCAAATTCCAGTTCAGAAAAGTTGAGTACATAGGAACATCCAAGGTATTACAGAGGCCAGATCTTAGGGCTCTGTTTTAGGACTCTGCAGTGTTAAGAGTTATTAAGTTACTGGGCACCGGGAGCTTACACCTGTTCTCCTAGCTATTCAGGAGTCTGAAATCTGAGGGTCACAGTTTAATGCCAGCCAAGGCAAGAAAATCTGTGAGGCTCTTATAATCTAATTAACTATCCAAAAAAAGCCGGAAGTGGAGCTATGGCCCAACTAGTAGAGTGACAGCCTTGAGTAAAACTAAAGGGACATGAAGTCCTAAGTTCAAGCCCTAGTACTAGTGCACAGACACAGACAACACACACACATACACACATACACACACACAATTAAACGTAGATCAAAGCTTATTCTCTATGTATTCAGATTTTACAAGAAAAAGGCTACGGAGGGCTAGACAGGTTGGATTCTCTTCTTGCTTCTTTGGAATTACTAAAAAGTTTCCAAACATAGCAGTTTTCAAATTCTGCAGTTATATTGTTGACCCTTTACTATTTCAGAATGAAGTACACTCTTAATAACTCAGTGTAGCAAGAGCAGAGACCTGCTGGTGAGAAATACTACACCAGCCTTCAAATGCATCGTCTCTTCCCCACCCAAGGGCATGCTTTATTCAACAACATGATAGTATTTTGGGGGAAATGGAAGAAAATATACAAAAATGACTATGGTTATAGAGTTGGCATTTTTCTCATTTTTAAAGCAACTGTTTTAATAAATAATAGTCCTCTAAAATATAAACATTGAAAAGACCACAGTATGCGAGGGTCCAGTGGTTAACACCTGTAATCCTAGCTACTCAAGAGGCCGAGATCTTAAGTTTGAGTTTTGAAGCCAGCCAGGATATGAAAGTCTGTGAGCTCTTAATCACTTAAAAGCTAGTTGAGGAAGATGCGCTCTGTGATCTGAAAGTAGATAGGAAGACTGGAATTTAAATTCCCATCTACTACTTAGTGTCTTTCTTATTCTCAATTGATCACATGTTAAATGTGAGGAATTTTAAGGCAGAGTTCTTGTTTAAATAGATAAAAGTAATCAAACAAAAGCAAGCCTTTTCATACGGCAAGTATTAAATACATTCTAACTTATTCTTCCCCCCTCCTTAATCCCCCCACCATCCCCTTTTCTGATTCTTTTCCCTTCAGGCAGCATTAGTCTGGCATCCGGTTACTGCCTAGGAGCCTCTTGTAGGTAGGACAATGAGTGTCTTGCCCAGCAGAGGGCGATGGCTTTGCACCTCTGAGCTCTAGACCAGCCAGCACTGTCCTATGGAAAGGATGCCAACTTGACAGGGAGTCTGAAATGTTTTACAAAGTAAAAGGAAACGGGTAACATTTATTTATTTAACTCAGAATATTAAAATTCTGTTGCCAGGCCTGGGTGTCTCACAACTGTAATCCCAGCTACACCTGGGCAGGGAAGTTTACAAGACTTTTATTTCTGGCTAGAGATAGAGCTATAATAGAGTGGCAGCCTTGAGCCAAAAAGCTCAGGGACAACACTCAAGCCTTGAGTTCAAGCCCCCCCCCCCCCCCCACACACACACACAATGGTAGTCTTCAGCATGTGGGTTATCTACACTGGAGTTGCTTCCTACTGTCACTTTCACAGAGAGATAACTTCCCCTCCTTTTGCATAGTCTGAGAAGTTGCAAAAAGCTCCACGTTTACTTTCAATTTCTCCCTCAACTCAGTAGTAAACAGCAAAAGTCAACAGCAAGGATTATTATTATTATTATTATTTTGTCATCGTGGTACTTGAACTCTGGGCCTGAGTGCTATCCCTCAGCTCTTCAGCTCTAGGCTAATGTCTACCATTTGAGCCACAGTGCTACTTCCAGTGTTCTGAGTGGTTAATTGGAGATAAGAGTCTCATAGACTGTCCTGTCCTGGCTGGCTTTGAACCATGATCCTCAGATCTCAGCCTCCTGAGTAGCTAGGATTACAGGCATGAGCCATCTGCACCTGGCTAGGATTCTGTTTTAAATAAAGAAAATGTCTAGGGTTGGAGTAGGAAACTAATTCTGATCTTAAAATCCACTGACTAGTTCTGCTATGAGCCTCACACAACAGTCACAGGTTGTTTGCCAGTACAAGTGAGAGGACAGAGCCCATCTCTTCCTCCATCAGTTGGAGCTGATTCGTCCTCACTGAGAATAGGACGGTAATGTGACAGAAAATAAATGTGAAATCACTGGATAAACAGCCACACATGCGGTGGCATCCATGTCATCACTAAGATCTAGGAGACTGACAAGAACTCTTGGGCTAGTCCTGGCTCCTTGGCCATACTTCCTCTCTCCAGGGGCATCTTTGAAAATGAGAGAGAGGACTCACAGGCCTCATCCACAATCTCCCAGACCTCATGTTAACTAGACCTGCTGCCATCTGTGTACTTTATTATCTACCCCTTGCTGCTAAATTCCCACTCCTTTGTACTTAGTAGATACAGTTCAACATCATGTGTTAAATTGAATTGCATGAAAAAATATGCTATGAGCTGAATTATGTCCCTTGCAAGGTTCACACATTGAAACCCTAACCCACAATTTCTCCTAATGTGACATTATTTGGAAATAGGATTATGGTAGATGTAGTTAATTAAGATGAGGCCAGTAGGGTGGCCTCTAACCTAATCTTTTACAAGACAAGGATAGTATGCAGGGTGTGGTAGTACACACTTATAATCTCAGCACTTGGACAGCAAAGAAAGCAGTAGCTTGAGTTGAAGGCCTTCCTGGGCTAGATAATCTCTTGATTATCTGTCTCAAAAAGTCCCCTCCTCAAAAAAAAAAAAAAAAAAAAAAAAAAAGGAGAAGGTGGCATCTATAAGCTAAGGAGGAAGGAGTCAGAATGAAAACAGATTTGCCAACACCTTGATCTTAGATGCTAGACTCCAGAACTATGAGGAAATCAACTTGTGCAAATTACCCAGTCTGTGGCACTTAGTGAAGTCACCACAAGCAAATTAACACAGTAACCTAATATGGACTGAGCCTATTCATGCCAAGGAAAAGCAAGCTAAAAGCCCAGTTCATTTGATTGGCCAAACCAATGAGCTAAGAAAACAATTTATCTTAAACCATTTTTTTTTAAGATAAGGAGGGAATGTACTTGAATCACATCTGGCATCTTACGGAGGAGTGATGAAATCATGTCACAGCTCAACACAGCAGCCTCTCTGAGGTCATTAGCATTGGGTCTAGTTCCCTTGTGAGCCCTTAGAAATATGCTCCTTTTCCAGTTCCCTCATTGTCTCTTTTTTGGTTTATTTCTTTCCAACAAAGAGATGAAATCCATCAGATGATGACATAAATGCTAGTATTTTGTACACCTTCAACATGCTTCTTTCTCCATCATTTCTTTCTAATGAATATGTATAGAAGGAAAGACTTTTGGGAAGTGGCGCTGTAGCTCAAGTGGTAGAGCGCTCGCCTTGAGCTGAAGAGCTGAGGGACAGCGCCCAGGCCCAGAATTCAAGCCCCATGACTGACAAAAAAAAAAAAAAAAAAAGGAAAGACTTGTTCTCATTCTAGTTTTGCCTATAGCAATAGTCAGTGCATAATGGGAGTGTCCTAGGGAATTTTTGAAGCTCCTAAGATTTGCATAGCTCTGGGAGCTATGAGACCAACTGGTCACTAACATCTGTGTCACAGAGGGACTACATCGCTCTCAATGTTACCAGAACACATGGTCATTAGGGAATCATTACATTTAGCCGAAGATCTCCATGAGAAAAACCCAAATAAAAGTTTATTCTTTAGGTTTTATTTTATTTATTTATTTTTTGCGTCCATTCATGGGGCCTGAACTCTGAGCTTGGGCGCTGTCCCTCAGCTCTTCAGCTCAAGGCTAGCGCTCTACCACTTGAGCCACAACGCCACTTCCAGCTTTTTTCTTTTTGCTTATGTGGTGCTGAGGAATCGAACCCAGGGCCTCAGGCATGCAAGGCAAGCGCTCTACCACTGAGCCACCTTCCCAGCCCTCGTTAGGTTTTATACTATAAAAACAAACAGATTAACGGTCACATTTCAACCACATTACTTGTTTTTATTTTCCTATCTAATGTTTGCATCACTAGAAGAAAGCAATTTTTTTAACATAAATTTCCAAGATGTAAGAAATTTCTGTGAGATCATCTGGAAGATTTCGGTTCCACCGGAAGTAAGAAGATGAAGACAGTTAGAAGTCACTTTGCAGAAACAAATCCAGGACACGTGTGATGTTATGACTCAACGTTTCCTTTACCATTTTGGTGGGGGGCCGAGGGAGCAGGGGGAGGACTTGGTGTTTTTCTACCATATATTTTTGCCATCTAGTTATCAGACCAAACCCTTCTTTCTGCCTTATTTAGAACTAAATAAGGCAGAAAAAGAAATTGTACTACAGGAAAAGAAATAATACTTTTCTTAGAGATTTATTTTTTTCATTTCTTGGCCATTAAAAGCTTTTAAGCTGTGTTAGTCTGACTAAACAGCTCCAAATGATAGAGAAACATAAGAAATTATTTCCAAATGTGATGTCCTCAGAGCAACAGCTCAAATATTAACACTCTTTGGGCTTTTTTCCTTAATCTGAGGTTTGTGTTATCTATGTTTAAACATAATCAAAATTTCAGTAAAAACTAAAGAAAAAAAAAAAAAAAGCCTGATACCAGTGACTCACACCTGTAATCCTAGCTACTCAGGAAACTGAGATCTGAGGATCACGGTTCAAAGCCAGCCCAGGCAGGAAAGTCCATGAGACTCTTATCTCCAATTAACTGGAAGTGATTCTGTGGTTCAAGTGGTAGAGCGTTTGCTTTGTGCTGAAGAGCTAAGGGACAGTGCCTAGGCCCAGAGTTCAAGCCTCACAATGGACAAAAAATAAAAGGGGGGGGGCGGAATCTGGGGGAATGTGGTCTAGTGATAGAATGCTTAAGTAGCATTCATGAAGCCCTGGGTTCAATTCCTTAGTACCACATAAACAGAAAAATCCGGAAGTGATGCTGTGACTCAAGTGGTGGAGTCCTAAGTTAGCCTTGAGCAAACAGAAGCTCAGGGCCAGTGTCTAGGCTCTGAGTTCAAGCCCCAAGACTGGCAAGAAAAAGAAGTGGGGTGAGGGGCGAGAGATGCAGACATTTTTTTCAGTTAAAAAATTAGCATAGGGGCTGGGAAGGTGGCTCAGTGGTAGAGCGCTTGCCTCGCATGCATGAGGCCCTGGGTTTGATTCCTCAGCACCACATAAGCAAAAAGAAAAAAGCCAGAAGTGGCACTGTGGCTCAAGTGGTAGAGTGCTAGCCTTGAGCTGAAGAACTGAGGGACAGCGTCCAGGCCCAGAGTTCAGGCTCCATGACTGGACCCCCCCCCCCCAAAAAAAAAATTAGCATCTACCAGAGCTAAAATCATAATAACTCAAATGTGGGATTGGAATAGACACTCCCGGGAAGGTAGATATTCCAGAATATTCCATGGTGCTATCTGCATTAGACACATGAATCATTTTCTTTCTGCCTTTTCTAAGCTCTTTAAATTGAGAATCCACCCATTTTCACCCCCAAAATAAACTATGTTTCAATCATTGTGAAACTTAAAAGGCTGCACCTGTCTCAAGAGTTTAATTTTTCTTGGTACTAAACTCAGCTGAACGCAAACCATAGGATTCCACCACCCCAAATTCTTCTTTTCCTCCACTCCCATAGTATGATTCATGTGGTACCTTCAAGCGAACACCGTTATTTGCATGGTCCCTGGAGATTTCAAAGATTAGAGGGGAGCAAGATTCCCAGGTCTTACCTTGAACGGAAGATTCCAGAATCAGAACGAGCAGGAGAGCCAGGACAAGCCTACTGCCCTTGAGGATCTTGTGCATCCTGAACAGCTCAATGCAGCTCGCCAGCCCCACAATGAAGAAATACAGCAGGGTGCTCTCTGTCCCTTTTAGACAAGGCTCCAAAACCTCAAACCCTGCCCAGAACACACGTCACAATTTCCTGAACAAATAGAAAGAGATCCACATCAACACCCAGCAAGAAAGAAAAGGAAAACAGCAAAAATGACTATTCATAGCCATTATGAAACTGCACTGGACTCTCCCCAGGCCTTGCTTCTTCAAGGTTGTCTGTTTATTTTCTTTTTCCTCCCATCAAAACAGTAGACTCAGCATTCAGAGCACTTTGGTTTTCCCTTTCTTCAGGTAGCAATCTAAACAGGGCCAAGAGGCCTGCCCTACTAGATAAGTAATAGCTTCCTTCATCATCCAGCACCTTCAACACAAAACGTTCTTGCATGCTCTTTCTCATCAATGAGTACCAGGATTCCCTGAGCCGAGCTCAAAACAAGAAACTTCCATACTGAATTGTCCTCTGCCAGAAGGATTTGTCTGAGTTCACATAAGCAGTATTTTTCTCCTTGGATCCAATGTTGACATTGGATCATTGGCTCTCCCTCTACCTCAAAAATAATGATGAGGGTTTGGGGTTACAGGGGGGAGAAAAACAAAAAACGGAAGATAGAAAAAATGTTTTGCATTCCTTTTGCCCTTTTCCCCCTCTTCACAATCCGTTTCTCCTGATTTGAGTCCATGTATCTTTTTATCTTTTGGCTTAAAAAAAAAAATCAACTTTTTTTTTTTGGCAGTGTGGGGTGGGGTGGGGTTAGGGTGGGGTGGGGTTGGGGTGTCTTCTAGCCTTGAATAAGGCAGAAATCAGGACCAAGGGCAAGTTCCTCCCAACAAGGGGCTGTGAGATGTAAGAACACACACACACACACACACACACACACCTGCTTCTATAACATGTTCCTTGGTCCTGCAAAGAGGCAGATTTCTGGAAGGTTATGGTTGCACGGGAGCTGGCTAAGGGTAGCTGGTGAGGCTCCTAGTCCCTAGCCGCAAGCATATACTTTCCCTGAACTTCCTTTGAAGCTTCCGCTCTCCAATTTGGCCTGCCCGGCCTACAACCTCCCCAGACTCCAGGGAGCACACACCCACTTTCCATTTCACCCCCCATTGACCGGAGGGAGGGAGGAGTTTTCCTTCCCCGGCGTTGGGCTTCCTGCTGACTCCTTGCCATTTCCTGCGAAGGATGGGACCTCGGCGTCTAATGGCTGAGAGCTGCAGAGAGTGGGTTCTGGATTCGCCTGTCCTCAGAATCCCGGCTGCAGCCTGCCCGGGGTGGGTCTTACCACCCAGGGGGTCATCGGAATCTCCGGATTGACAAAGCCAGCCAGCCAGCTCGGCCCTCTGGAGTGGCAGTGTCAGCCTGGGTCCCTTGAAACGCCTAGCACTAAAGCAGCAGTCCTTGTGCAAAGAAAGCTCCAATATGTTTCCTGCAAGGCCCTACCCGTAGGTTAGAACCTACTAGTAGGAAATGCGGGAAAACGAGCATTCAAGGGATTTTTCTCATTTGGATACTTCTTCCCTCCAACCCCCAGTCTGGGTCATGGCAATTTCTTAAAATGTAAAAAAAAAAAATCGGATTGTATAATAAGCATTTGCTCTTCCCTACTACACTAAGACCCAACAATTTCTTTTAGCTAACAGCCTTCCTGCTGTCAGTGTCCAGGCCTCTCTTCCAGAGATAAAGGGGCAGGGCTAGGGCCTGAAGCAGAGGAAAGTCCTGGGTCTCAGCTTGTCTCACACACACACACACACACACACACACACTCTGGGTTCTATGGATAGAACCTATGGGAAGGGTTCTATGCAACAGGCACCAGGGAAAGGGGCTCACAAAAGCACATGGTAAGCTGGGTGCTGGTGGTTCATGCCTGTAATCCTAGCCACTCAGGAAGCTGAGATCTGAGGATCACAGTTCAAATCCAGCCTGGGCAGGAAAGTCCTTAAGACTCTTTTTTTTTTTTTGTCGGTTGTGGGACTTGAACTCTGGGCCTCGGCGCTGTCCCTCAGCTCTTCAGCTCAAGGCAAGCGCTCTACCACTTGAGCTACAGCACCACTTCTGGTTTTCTGGTGGTTTATTGGAGATAGGAGTCTCACAGTCTCTCCTGCCCAGGCTGGCTTTGAACCGCGATCCTCAGATCGCAGCCTCCTGAGTAGCTAGGATTACAGGCGTGAGCCCTATCTCCAATAAACTACCAGAAAACCAGAAGTGGTGCTAAGGCTCAAGTGGTAGATCACTCACCTTGAACTGAAGAGCTGAGAGACAGCTCCCAGGCCCAGAATTCAAGCTCCACGGGGTGGGGGGTGGGAGGTGTCAGGAATTGGAGACTTTTAAGGAAGAATTGGGAGAAGAAAAAAAAAAAAAAAGGCTAAATCCCTTGTCATCTCCTATCCAGAGATGACAATGTCATTCTGCCTCCAGAAATTCAAAGCTTACACACACCACATCCTAGCACATGGGGGCCCTTTTCATCTCCCTTTAATGCTTTTATTTATTTGTTTATTTATTTATTTTATTGGTCGCGGGGCTTGGACTCTGGGCCTGGGCGCTGTCCCTCAACTCTTCAGCTCTAAGCAAGTGTTCTACCACTTGAGCCACAGCACCACTTCCAGTTTTCTGGTGGTTTATTGGAGATAAGAGTTTCGTGGACTTTCCTACTTGGGCTGGCTTTGAACCATAATCCTCAGATCTCAGCCTCCTAAGTAACTAGGATTTCAGGATGAGCCACCGGCGCCTGGCCTATTGCTTTTATTTTATACAGTGCTCTGTGGTACTATGTAGCCCACTGATGTCCCCAAAACTAACTTGGTCCTTGCTTCCCACCAATCCTATAACTCATCCACTTCAGCTGGGCATTGTGATCTATGCCTATAATCCCAGCTACTTTTGAGGCAAAGGCAGGAAGACGGATGAAAGAAATTCTGGGCTGGACCTGGCAAATTATTAAGGCTCCAGCTCAAAAATAAAATACAAACTAAATAGCTTGAGGGCATGACTTAGGTACCTATAGAGTAATTTCCTAGCAAGGATCTGGGTTCAACTTCCAATTAAATTAAAAAAAAAAAAGACTACCACCTCATCTTTAAACTGTCTCTGGAATAATCTGTCCAAGTTCCTAAACTCAACAACCAAATTTCTTAAGCTTCAAATCCAACATGTATCTGAAAGTCACATTCACACACAGGCCATTCTATTTAAGCTTCTCAGTCACTAAGGAAGAGGGAAGTTCCTACCCTTAATGTGTAACCACAGGACAACAGCCAGATACATCTTCAACGGCCTTTATGTTTCAGTCTCCAGGGACTGACCACAATAACCAATTAAGTTACTACATTTTAGTGGTTGATTTGCTCCCTCCCTTTCTCTCTCTCCCCGCTTCCAAGATCTGCACTATATACTATGTATTGAAGGCTAGCCTGGAACTATAACTCTATCTTAAGATTCTTCTGCCTCTTTCCATAATTGCTGGGATTACAGGCATGCATGAACTACCATGTTCTCCACATGTTTACCAAAGAATGAAAGAATACAAAAACCCTCCATTCAAAAACACAACATCTAGTGCTAGAGAGAGTTGTTTCTCTTCTGATTTTAATGATATGTTTTGTATTTTGATGATATTTATTTGGTTGATTATATCCCCAAATTTACTGAATATACAGATTACATCAGAATACTAGAACTAAGTTATCTGAACTGAAAGAGCTCACTGAAGGCTAGCTCTAAGGAAGTTCCTAACCATACTGCTTTGAAGCAATGCTACTATATTTCAGTATCCAAGCAGAAACCAAAAAGACTTTGTTTCTCATCCTTACCACACTTTAATAATCTAGTCTCAGCTGATAATCAGGGAATACAAACCCAATATTTGCACCTTTTTCTTTTATTTCTTGTTGTTATTGTATTTGAGACAGTGTCTAAAAGGTCTAATTTGAGATGTGTTATATTTGTAAAACAAAATATTGGATTTGCAGGACCACTCAAGAAGCTGAGGCTGAGGTTCATGATTTGAAGCCAGCCGAGGCAGATAAATCCATGAGACCTATTTCCATTTAACCATCAAAAAGTCAGAAATGGAGCTGTGGCTCCAAGTGATAGAATGTTAGCACTGAACAAAGAAAGCTCAGGAATATCGAGCACTAGCCTTGACACAAAGAGGCTCAGGGAGAGCACCCAGGTACTAAGTTCAAGCCCCACAACTGACAAACAAATAAATAAATAAAAGCTCAGAACAATGCCTGGGCCCTGAGTTCAAGCCCCAGTACTGGCACAAATAAAATAAACAAAAAAGATTAGATTTGCATATAGCAGGGAAACGGAATGGAAATATTTTGGGCATTTTGTTTTGTTTTGTCTTCTAGAGACAAAGTTTTGCTATGTAGCACTGGCTGGCCTTGAACTCTGGATCTTCCTGCCTCAGTTTCCAAAGATCTGGGATTGCATGTGTTCACTTTTATACCTCTCTCTGGAATAGTATTTTGAATATGCTGTGCTGACATATATCATAAAAACATTTTCTTGTTTTTCTTTATTTTAGTTGTCATAAAAGTATATCATTTAAATTAATTTTACCTGCTGCTTTTATATCTTAAAATAACTCTTGGGTGCTGATGGCTTATTCCTATAATCCTGGCTACCCAGGAGGCTGAGCTCTAAGGATCCTGATTTGAAGCCAGCCCAGGCAGAAAAGCCCATGGTACTCTTATCTCTAATTAACAACCAAAAAGCTGGAAACGAAGCTGTGGCTCAAGTGACAGAGCTTTGAGCAAAATAACTCAGACACAAAATGCAGGCCATGAGTTCAAGCCCTAGGACTGGCACAGACTAAAAATAAACAGAACTTTTTATAGTTGTTTTTTTTTTTTTCCTAGAGCTGAGTACCAAACTCAGGGCCTTGCTCTTCCACTTAGCTAAATCCCCAACTCGCTAAGACCCAAACTCTTGCTAAGTATAGTAGTAGACACCTGCAATCCTAGCATCAACCCAGTACTGGGGAGGGTGAAGTAGGAGGGTCATGTGTTAACTGAAGTTACATAGTTAGGC